TTAGGCAGACTTTCAAAGTGCATTTGATCACACTAACGTGTTGATGTGATCTCAAAATAAGACAGAACAGATCAATATAAGAGATAAACGAGAGCTCTACATTAATAATCTCAGGAATAATCACACAATGATTTTTGCACTGTGTGTTGCCATAAGATAAAACCAATAAACACAAACATTGAATTGCAGGGAATTCTTTCTACAAAACAAAGGTCTCCCAATCACTTCTGCTCTAAAATAACACAGATAGGAAATGTTTTTAAAACCCGCTATTTGCTTGCTATCTTTCAAAAATTTTAAAAACTTGGACCTGCATTATAATTCATGTTCTAAATTGGGAGAACAATTTATCATATATCATGTTCCACAATAGTTACAAAAATAGCTATTCAACTGATACCTTATTTCTGAGATAGTAAACTTACATCACCAGTTTAATACATTATCATTACACAACAGCTTGCTTTTACTAAAAAGAGTGCAGGGAAAATGCTTCGCGGTTTTAGTTTATACTGCTTGTTTTATCCTTAATATTCAAAACTCAGACAAAAGTACCTAAACCCAGCATTTTTGCAAATAGCAAATATTTATACCCAGGACAGTTCCTAAAATAGGCCAGGTAGACCCATTCGTAAAGGCAACTGCTTTCAACAGCAGACATCACTGGTTTTTCTCAAGATAGCCCTGTATCAAGCCTTGAACGCGAGACAGAATAATCTCATTGGAGCTGCTGCACTCTTCTGGGCCATATGGTGGGTCAATAGTCAATACGCCTGCCACACATAGCGTCTTTCCTGATTCACCTTGCTCTGTTATGGGGATGTGGTTCGTTTCTAGCCAAGTCTTCAAGCTGTTCTTCCTCTTTTCGAGTTCCTCTGGGCTGTAGGCTTTGCTTTCTTCAGGTGCAAATATGCAGGAAAGCCGTTGCTCCATTTCATCATCCCCTTCTTGCAGTATTTCTACCTCCTCGACAGCATGGCCCAAGACAACCGATATGGACACACTTTCATCCTCCGGGAATGTTGCAAGGACGATACTGCCAAGGAAAGGAGGATGTATGAGTCACTGTATTTAACTGAAGACTGAGAAAAAACAGGCCAAGATTCTTGGAGATTAGTGCTCATTAGTGTCAGCATAACCCAGCATTGAATACCCAGCATTCTTTGTGAAGAGCATGCTACTATACCTTTAGAATAATGAAAAAGTGGGGCTTTCTATCTTCTGGCCTTGAATTTGAAACTACTCTAGCAGATCAAGCAGAACATTACTTTCACAAAACAAAGTGTACCTTAAAATCAGGGCTGGCAATCTAATTATTTCTGTGCAGCATTCCCAACCTTGCTGAAGAACCTTAAGTCTTCCACCATTCAAAACCAATGATACCTTCATACATTCAGCACTTTGAATGCTGAAGGTAATGGTGGCAACTAACATCAGAACCTTTTAATTTCAAATTATTAATATCTAATTATTGATTGTTACTTTTTTAGTTTTACATGAGTGTTGCTAATTTCTTAACTGAAAAACAGCTTGAGTATTACAATGGGAACACAGTCACAGCGGGTTCAGGCACATGTAGCGGCCTGCTCTTTTCCCAAGGGCACTTATATCCCGTAAGTCCTAAAATAGAGATAGGAAAGCAGCTTGTTACATTTCGAGGGTCTCTTCCCCATATATCAACATAGAGGATCAGAAAACATTTTCTTCCTCTTTTGGGAAGAAACACTGCCAAATTTGATGCCAGCACTTTGCCAACCTACTGCTGCCAACATTATTGGAAGTAATGACTTTTTGGGAAATGTGCAATGCCTTGATTTTAGCCTGAGTCGTTCCCTGAATCACTCGCAGCTGCATGTACCTTTCCTGCTAAAACGATGAGCAACTCCAAGAGAAGACTGGCATATTGGAGCTACTCCAGAGTTGAAGCAACAACCAGTTCTTCTGAAACACATCAGAAGCTGGATGTTTTCATTTCTAGCCTCCATCTTATGCTCGCGTGGGACAAGCTCACAACCAAAGAGGCTTGAAAAAGCTCTGTCGGCAAGGAAACAAATTTCTGCCCATTCCCTAGTGCATTCAAATCCTGTTTTCATGTTACTTATTTAAAATACTAGTGACCTGTGGTTCCACTTTTTGTCCAGTGCCATGGCTGATTTTCCCTGCTTCCTCTCCAAAGCAGCCACTGGACTGTCACGGCTGTTTGGCTGGAGGAAAGAGCAGGACATCAATGTGAGAACTCTGGACAGAGGATAAGGATTTGAACACCTAAAGCATTAAAAATACTCCTGTATTCCTGCTCTCTTGAAGCAGGGCTTAGTATATTATTAAAAGTAGTCCTAAACATGTGGATATCATTTAAAGTACTGACCTCAGATCCCACACTAAAGTTAGCATGAATTCAGAGATTATCCATTCCCCAAACTTTTCAATCCTTTGAATGAGGTTACAGTGGTTTTAGGTAAACCAGCCTCATCAACTGGAATGGTGCTTTCTCTTAGGCCCTGTCAATTAAAAAAACCCCAAAACCAACCAAAACCCAGAACACACAACCCCAACATGCAGGTTTTGCTCCAAGTAAGTCTGCTTCAGTCTTGGGATCTTTTCCTGAAAGACTTATTTTCTCTTTGCTTCATAGAAACAAAAGCTTTGGTACTTACCTGGCAGAAACTGGATCAACTGTTAAGACCCATCCTTCATATTCATGTTTCTCAATTACAGCAACTTTCACCAGTTTGTTCAAATACGTTTCCCACTCTAGAGGGCTTTTCTTCTGCCACTCGTTCATATTTTCTACATCCGGAACCTAGAAAATTGCGCAATTAGCAGAAGCAATGAATCCTTTTGCTTTGCCTTTCACATCAGAACCGAGTTTGCCTCACAGTAAAAATCTTCCATTTGCCTTTAACCTAATTTGCTTTATTTTAAAAGCAAACATTCACACAAGTGGTATCAATATTGCTGCAGTTCTGCAATTTCCCATCCAGTTCACCTGTTTTTAAAGGCACACAGCAAAGCCCCCAAAATTATTGTTTTGCTAAGATAACACTTTCCCGTAGCATTAAATATTACATCTATTATTCTGTCCCCTTACAAAACCTCGGTTTCCCTGCCCCTTGAGGGCAAAATTTTACTGCCCTCACTCTGTGTGCCTTGTGTCCATGCCCTTCCATTGCCTGTTACCCACCCGGATCCCGGCTCTATCCTCATCCTCTACGCTACAGAGAGCTGCAAGTGCTGTTCCACTCTTCCCCCCGTACCAGCTGCACTACTGGTAATCAGAGCAGAGCCACCCGTGTTGCAGCTTGGGGCCGCACAACCGTTTGTCTCCATCCCCGTATCTCTCCGGATATGGGCTGGGGAGAGACGGAGGGAGGACAAAGGCCCGGAGGAAGCTCCCTCCTTTGTTCCCCCCAGGCTCTTCAAAGCCTAAAGCGGGACGGGTAGCGCAGGCAGCGAGCTGGACATGGCAGGGAGAGCCGCCCGGCTCCACGGGGCAGGAGAGGGGAGGGCACCGGGCCCCCCACACCGGCCGTGAAGCCCGGATCCCCGCTCACCTACTCGTTTCCCGCCTCTGCCGAGGGCGCCTGGAAGCTAGGCCCGCCGCTTCCTGCTGCGGCTTAGCGCCCTCCCCCGACACCGTTTGGGTTGGGTTATTTTAAGCACGGAATTAGAGGCTTCCGAGGCAGGCAAATGCTCAGATCTGCAGTGTTTTAAAAATAAGGGTGTGCATATAAATTATGTATAAGTTTATATATCTCTATGAGGCCAGGTTGCGAAACAAGGAAGGGGGGCGTGCATCCACCCCGTGTGCTGCCTTATGCCTCGCTTGAATTAAGCTGCGTTAGGCGGTGCTGCTATTAAGAGCTGAGACCGCTCGCTCCACTATGCAAAACCACGGCCTCTTCAGGAAATTTGGGTACTTAAATAGGTATAGATGCGTGTTGTGTGTATCCGCTCCATAAAAATATTATTTGCTCCCTGCTTTTGAGTTGTCTTCACGAGCACTCCTGTGCAGCCATGAAGGTGAGAATCTTGATTTCCCATCCCATCCTGAAACCTGCTCTGTTTCAACAATGAAGAGCTGGAAGAGCTTCTTATGGATGAAGCAAACAAGCTGCCACCGTTTCAGTAATTTAAGTGTAAGCGAGCATGTGATGATTTTGTGAGTGTAACAGAAAAAATATCAAGGGTATAAAATAAAGTGTCATTTTGCAGGCTTAAGAAGGAAATTTCCCTTTTTTTTTTCAAAGTTTCAATTAAACTTCCACAGTGCTACATGGGTTATTTAGGAATGGTCTATGCCTCTGTATTCAGCTACTGTTTTCTTTCAGAGTTACGATTTATTACAAAGCAGGGATTAGCAAATCTATTTGTTTTCATTATAAAAGCAAGCAACACAATGGGAAGTCATAGCTTCCGTTTGAAAGAAAAGCAGTGAAAAGATGGAGTATGGTTTGGGGTTTATATATTTATAAGCATAACATTTTAGGTTTACTTCCTAACTGGTCCCCTTCTGGATCACAGGCTGGAGGACAGTTTGTTCACAGTCCCTTTTGAGCAAAATACTCCAAACATCTTTAAATCTTTCTGGTCTCAGTCCCTACTGATTTTTATTTTTTTTCCCTCCACCGTTGTCAGTGTAGATCTTTAATTGTTCTGAACCACGAAGGCCCTAACTTTTTTATCCTGTCATCTAAGCTGTATCTTGCACAGGCCACTATCGTGGGCAGTGACTACAGCTTTCACACCGTAAATTTGACCTCAAATCACAGTCGTAAAGTGGTGCAACTATACTAGTAGTGGAAGCTGTGGCACAGATGAAGTTGTAAATGCACAATTCATCAGACAAAAGTCGCTTTTCTGCTGAGAACTCCGCCGGCATTACTGCACCACTTCCCCAGTCCTACTGCGCCCTTTCGGGAGGGCCGGCAAAGCCTGAACCGTTTCCCTCTGCCCGGGGGAAACGGTGCTTGTGAGGCGTTCCAGGACCTCTGCTCC